CCCCTCTATCCATCCACCCCCTCCATCTATCTAACCCCATTAACACCTCTCTACCCATCCATCCCCCCACAGCCCTCTATCTACCCATCCACCCATTCCCCCAACACCCCTATCTATCTATCCATCCATCTCCATCCACATCTCTATCTATCGATCTAACATATCTATATAGCCTTCCTTTTCTTCCAGGGCCATACACCAGGGTCCATGTGTGTCTCTCTCTTCCTGTAACAATCTCTCCTTCTATCCATCACCCGATCCACACATCCCTTCCGCCCCCTTCCACAGCTAGAGGGCTGCCTCCCAGTCGTCCCCACAGCACAGCCACACACTCCCACATGCGGTACATGCATGTCCACAGGACACACTCATAGAGGAAATAGTTTGTATTCCAAGAGGTACAGAGAGGGGGGGAGGGGGGGATTCTGTATTCCAGAGACACACACACACACACACACAGGAGAAAATTCGATTATTTCAGAGAAACACAAACACTATAAAATTCTATTTCAGCCGTGTACACACACACACACACACACAAATTGTGTATGCCAGTGAGAGATGGTAATAGATGCAAACTGCCTATTCCAGAGGTACATATGCATAGTGATAGATAATTAGTCAATATTCCAGTAGCGTGCACACACACACACACACACACAAATTGTGTCTACTGGAGATATAAATGGACATGGAGATAAAATATCATTATTCCAGTGGCAAAACACACACAGATCAAATTTGTGTCTCAGTGTTAAATACACACACATCCAATTGTGTATTCCGATGAAACACACACAGATCAAATTGTGCATCCCAAAGGTACACACACAAACACTATTCCAGAGATCCACACACACAAATAACAATTGTGCATTCCAGAGGTGCACACACACACTGAGCAGGGCTCATCCTCTCCAGCAGGAGGCAGCACACACACACACACACACACACACGCACGCACCAGATTGTGTATCCCTTTTGCAAACCCAGATCAAACTGTGCACCCCCCTTGGATAAAATGCAGGCTAAGAGAGAAAATTGTGAGTCCCCGTGTCTGAGACACACAGACAGCAAATTGTGCACCGCAGAGGCGCACACACACACACACCAAATTGTGCATCCTAGTGTGTCTCTCTCACACACACACATCAAATTGTGCATCCTAGTGTCTCACACCCAGAGCAAATTGTGCACCCAGGGGCACACCCCGAGGTGTGTACCCCCCCCCCCCCCCCCCGGGCCCCCCCCCCCCCCCCGGGGGCCCCCCCAAACCCCCCCCCCCCCCCCCCCCCCCCCCCCCCCCCCGGGCCAGGCACTGCGGTACCTCGGCAGAGCAGGACCAGCCCCAGCCTGCAGAGCAGCCAGCCCGGCCAGGCGCCCCCGCTCATCGCGTCGGCGGCCCCGGCCCCGGGGATGCGGCAGGCGGCGGGACGGGACGGACGGAGCGAGCCCGGGGGTCCAGCCCACCAGCCCCGGCGCGTCAGATCGGGGCTGCGCGGGGGAGGGGGGGGGGAGTGTGTGGGGAGGGGGTG